TTTTATATGTACCTTGCTATTAGCCTATTATAGGAAGAAATGAAAGTAACATGAGAAAACTAATAACATCAATGGAAGTACATTTGCTATTCTTTTTGATATAGCACTGTTAAATACCTTATCTGTTTGAATTTGGGCAATTGGTTCACTGATATCACCACAAACTGTGGGCCCTGTTTGCAATATGAAAGAAAATATATAAAGAATTGCATGGATCATTATAATAAAAATTGTTGACACAATCAAAGAAGCATACCACTGTGTGAAGAAAAAGATCTAACCCATTTTGGGGTTAGAAAATCAGTTTTAAACGATGATACGTCCCTGTGCCACATAAATTGTTGTAAAGAAATGATAAGTTTTAGCATTAATTCAACAAGACTAAGAACAATGAAGAGCTAAATGCAAGAAATAGCAATGAACTTGCATATTTAACATAATGAAAAAGGCATTACCATTTCTTGCGTTTAGCCAATGATGTAAAAAAAAAATTTCAAAAGTGCATTGCTATTTCTTGCATTTAGCAGCCCAGAGAGAAAAAAGAGTGTTTATTTTACCTTAAGGCTTTTGAATAAACGGAGCACCTGTAATAGTGTAAGACATACATCATTTAGTGATAAGTTAAAACATTGTGATTTTTAAGTGTGATAACAGACACTCTTATGTAGGAGAATGCATGCATACCTTGATGAATTTCAGGTACTAGTTTTGATCCTCTTCCAAATGCCTACCACAATTGCAAAATATATATATAGCAACAAGTAATCTCATAGGAAAGATTTTGAATAGCATACAAACTCTAAATTAAAACTAAATTTAGCTCTAACAAGATGGATGAATACAAGAAATAGTAATGCACTTTTGTTCCATTGTTGTGAAATTTAGTGACATAGTCCCTTAGATTTAAATATATAGTTCTTCAACAATAAAAGCAAACCTTGTAAAGTGTCAATTCTCAAAAAAAAGCAAAGAACTACATATGTATGTTTTCATCTAGACAATGTGACCATTGAACTTCTTCAAGCACTAGTGAGACTATTTGACATAAGATGTGTAAAGCCTGTGCCCCTTGTATATACTAGCATCATCATTAGTTTTAATAATTATGTCTCCCTTTAACCAATTTAAAGACTAAAAAGTGTATAAAGCATATGTAAGCTAAAACACAATATATTATGTTAAAGTATACATACATTATTAGCCACTGCAGATGAGCACAGAGACAAAGCCTTCCGCCTGATAGTTCCACTCATCATCCTTATAATCTTCCCTACATAATATGAAGCATGCAGCATCAATATAAGCCAAAATGTTATGTGGGTATAAGTTCTCAAAATTAACTCCCCTCCCAAACAGAAGAAAAGAGAATCAAAACCAAATAGAAGTTATGACTGCCTAGAAAAACAGGAATTCAACTTGGAACAATCAATGATTTGTTTTTGGACTTTAAAACTTAGGTGATTTCAAGCTTTTTGTTACAAAAGATGAAAACCAAATTAAATCTTATAACACGTCTTTCCGAAAACTGTTTTCAAACAATACGAAGCAGTTATATCAGATCAATTTTGTATTTTGAATGTACCGATTTGGGGTTTGAAAACATCAGCAGTCTAGATTATCCTAATTTGAAATATATTTAAGCTATATATTGATTGAATAGTCCTAATGGGGTATTAGTTACGATTAATGATCAAATGACTTTTTAGTATGATTTATGCAATCAAAAGAGCTACGGAGCTGTAGAAACAACAAATACGAAATGAGGATTTTTTTTTTTTGACAAAATATAGTTACCCTAGAATGATCTTTAGGACGATATGTATCAAGACCTAGATTCGATATCCGATTCACAGTGGACTACCGAGAATAGAGAAATTAAGACTACAAAAAAAGAGAAATCAAGAATGTTCGTCTAATCTAAACAGCAAAGAAAAAAAAACCATACCGATTTGCTTGCAGTCGAAGAAGGAATACCGAGAAAGAAAAAGGATTAGCGAGGAGAAACGCAAAGAAAAATAGCGTACCGATTAGCTTGGTGTCGCAGAAGGAAGGTTGGTGACGATTTGATTGCAGTCGATTGCGATGGTTGAAGGCGACGAATGTGGGTGCTGATCTGCTTGGGTGTCGAAGAAGTGAGAATTAGAAGAAAAATAGCCTGTTCAGAGTTGTTCAAATCGCTGATTCGGACAGAGGGTAATAAACGGTTCAGAGTTCTTTTACCTCCTTCCCAAAAAATGGGATGGCAAAAAAACCCGAACCCGACCGGAAAACCCGATTCCCGAAGATTTTGGGCTGGGCCGGGTCGGGTCGAGCTTATCGGGTAACGGGTCGGGTATCGGGTATTTATTTCAGGTTCGGGACAGGGAGTTGGGGTATGCGTGCCTCGACCCGACTCGCCCCGAATATATATATATATTATATATATATATATATATATATATATATATATATATATATATATAATATAATTACATTTAAGCCCCTCAGATACTCTAACCCTAAAATCACGTTACCACTTATCGATTTCTATTTCCCTTCTACCTTCTCTAATCTCTTCCAGCCGACATCATAAGACTCGAAGGCCTGATTCCTAAGCTCGTTCCGTTTCATCGAAGACTCGAAATCGAATTGTAACACCCAGAATCAGAAAGGCCAAGAAAGGAAAGGAAACCCTAAGTCAAAAGGGGGTCAACTCGTCGAGTCCAAGGAAGAACTCGACGAGTCGGAGCGGGATCCGTGTGCAAGATTAAGTGACCGACTCGACGAGTCGGAGAGTGGACTCGGCGAGTCTGGTCTGGGTTGGGAAAGCCCTAATTCCGGGACTTGGTACCCTATTTAAGCATCTTATTCTCTTCCCTAGGGTTCATTACAGCCTCTCTCGTCCAGAACCCCAAAACCTAGCCACCCAACTTCATTTTTGGAGCTTTTGGTGAAGATTAAGGTCCATTGGAGTGGATTTTGAAGGCTTGGAAGAAAGGAGCAAGGAAGGAAGTGTAGATCCAGCCTTCACATCGATTTGGCAACTATTAGAAGGTAAAAAGTCTGGACTTGAGCTTTCAATTGATAGATCCCCTTTCTAGCTTGCTTTTGGTCACATTTGGATCATTTCCAAGGTGAATCCGAGTATTAAACCCTTGAGGATGGTTTGGACAATAGATCTGGACACTCTTGAGCTTTAGAAGCTCAAAGTTGTTGGCTTTATCCAGCTAAGGTCCCATTCATGACCTAGGTCTTCATTGAAGCTTGGATTAAGTGTTTTAGCCCCATAACACCTTGCATGCACGTAAAGTTAGCAACTTTACGTGCAATGCTAGCATAAGGAGTCCAGATCTATGAGTTGGAGGTGTTGGGATGGTCTGTAATCGACAAAATAGAGATGCCACAAGATGGACTCGGCGAGTCAGTTCATGGACTCGGCGAGTCAGGTCACAAACCCAAACCCTTCTGTTTATGATTCGGATCAGTGAGTGGAGTTAGTAAAGGATTCAGCCAGACTGGGTCCGTAATGGACATGAAGATCATAGTACTCGACGAGTTCGAGGAGGAACTCGGCGAGTCCAAGACAATCTCCTTAGTTATGAATATGAACTCGACGAGTTGTTCATACAACTCGGCGAGTCATGGTCTAGACATTCATACGATGATGATGAACTCGACGAGTTCAAGGATGAACTCGGCGAGTCGGTGGAAGATGGTCCCGAAGTGTTAGTGAAGGAGAACCCGTCGATTTCTCGCTAGACTCGACGAGTGGAGTCGGGGTTGTTTGGGATTTGAGGAGCATGGACTCGGCGAGTTGGTAGAACAACTCGGTGAGTCGAGTCAACTGGAAGGTTGACTTTGACTGGGACTTTGACCTTGAGAAGGACTTGACCAGAGTTGACCTAGTTGACTTCTGGAGGGCAGTTAGGCTAATTGTTATTGTTGGTATTGGTAGCTCGGGGAGCTAGAGGAGCAGCGGTTCAGAGAGTTGTCGGAACAGCAGCCAGAGGGTTATCAGCAACTTCAGCAGTTTGAGGTGAGTTTCCCTTTGTGTGAATGGGTCTACGGCCACAATGCCGACCCATGTAGTTGTGAGTAGGAAGACCCGGGGGTTAGCCCTAGGCACTGTTGCTAGTATGATATTCAGGACCAAGGTCCAATGTCGGGCGGGTGCCCAAGGAATGGTTTGCATGATAGAGTATACTTGTTGTCTGTGTGATACTTGTATGTGCCTGGTAGGGGGTGAGTGTGGGCGAGGGCCCATATCTCACTATTAGCAGAGTATGGATGGGGTTCCATATCTCATCAATAGCCAAGCAGGAGCGAGGCCCAAGTTAGGAAGGGAGTGAGTGTGGGTCGGGCCCGTATCTCACTATCAGTAGGAGTGTGGATGGGGTTCCATGACTCATCAGTAGCAGGACAGGGGCGGGGCCCAAGACAGGCGAGGCCTTAGTACATGAATACATCAGAGTAGTTATGGTTTATGTGTTATGCGATATGTTATATGTTTGTATATGTTTAGCGGGCGGGGCCCAGAGACAGGCAGGGCCTAAGAGAAACAGATCTGTACACCGAGCGGGGCTCGAATCCAGGCGGGGCCTGGAGCAGGCGGGGCCTGTTGTAGCGGGCGAGGCCCAGTATTTACAGTATGCAGTTATGTGTATGGTATGTGGTAGGGTGGGGAAATCACTAAGCTTCGTGCTTACGGTTTTCAGTTTTGGTTTCACGTATTTCCAATAGCGGAATGAAGAGCTCGGGATGATCGCATGGCACACACCATTGTTTAGTCAGCCTGGGATGTTTACTCTGATAAAATGAATAAGTGTTTTGGAAAAGATACTCTGATTTGTCATATATCCTCTTTTTGTATGTTTGAATGACTTAATGTTATGGATTAGTAATGTTTTAAAAGAAATTTTTGGTCATGATTCTTGGGACGTTACACGAATCCAGTTGCCTCCGTGCCTCGTTGCACTCATCTATCACCCATGTCCCCTCGCAGCCTCTCTAGTCGATCGTTCATCATTGCCTCATTAATTTTCATCACCATCGTTTGGAGAATCGGCAATTGCAGACTCAAAATCGAAGGCTCGAAGTACATCTGTTCGACACAATCTAAATCCAGGTAAGAATAAGTTCCAAATCCATTTAAGATTTAATGATGCTTCTGATTATTTGATGATTTCGAATCTGATTTCAAATTGATTTTTTATTATGTTAAATTGAATTCTGATTTTTGATTATCTGTTCGACACACCTGTTCTGTTTCTGTTTAAGATGATTTCGAATATGGTTTATGAATTATTTTTTATTATGCTGAAGCGAATTCTGATTTTCTGATGGATTTGAGCTGATTTGAAGTTATTATTTGTACCGATGAATCTGATTTCTGATATTCAAATGCATATATTAGTTGATTTATTTTCAAATGAACATTAGAACATATAGGTTACCCTGATTTTGTTAGCACCTGTACACTTAATTACATCTTCAATAAGATAACCCCAAAAAATTAATTTGCTATTCTTTTGCATCATAGAATATAGTAAACCAGACATAACCATGAAAAGAAAGGCAAAAGGAACTTACACCATTTATTCTCTTAGTTGTACACCCATTTGGAAAAAGATTTGAATCAATAGTTGTATAAAAGAATATTAATGATAATAAGACCAGGTATTTATTCATCAAAATGTGACATGTATGGTCCAAATTGCCATTTTTTCAAACATACAAAAATATGGAAGACACATGCAATGATTTCATATTGGTAACTTATAGGAAGAACTCAACTTTTGAGATGTGAATTTATCGAGATTTATGAGATTCATATTAATAAAAATTGATCTGCAAACTAAATCAGTTGCAGCAGCAGCGAGATTCAAGCGTATAAAATGGAATATGAAATTGAGTGATATTTTTGTTAATAATATTTTTGTTAAATTGCTTTTATATTTTCTTATATACAGCAACATGTTCTAAAGAGACCGAGGCATATTGTCGTTCTGTTGAATTTGATTATGATGTGGAAGAGGTAAAACGACACTTCTATGAATATTAATTTTATATAGTTTCGACGATTTGGTTTGATTTTGAGTTTGTTTAATATTTTGTAGGAAAACACTAAAGAAAGCGGGACAACAAGTTTGGATGATTTTGTTTGATTTTGAGTTTGTTTTAATGTTAAGTGGTAATGTATTATTGTGATGAAGTAGTTTTTCATATTTTGTACTTTGTTGTTTTGATTGGTTGGTTGTTGTTTTGTACTCTTTGGTTAAATGATTTAAGAACTTATTTGGTATTTTAAGCCTATGCAACTTCTTAATTTCTCATTATGTAATTGTAGTTTTTCCAATTTTTTTCTGCCATTTTCGGGTTTTGGGATCGGGTTTTCGGGTACTTATCGGGTTTCGGGTTTAGGGTCGGGTTCGGGGAAATTTTTAGCCCCAACGGGGCGCCCCGATAAGAAACCCGTCAGGTATCGGGTCGGGTCGGGAACACATTTAAAAATCGGGTTCGGGTTTGGGAAATCATGCCCCGCCCCGAACCCGCCCCGTTGTCATTCCTACCAAACATACTACCATAGGATGATCTATCCTAACGGAGGAGTGATGTCACTATAATTAAATTTAAATAAGAACTCCATTTTTAATATAAAAAAAAACATAACATTTCATTACTTCAAAATAAAAAAAAATAAACATAACATTACATTAAATTTAAAAAAAAACATAACATGACATGACATTAAAAAAAATCCTAAACACTTAAAAAAATACTAGAAATCTTAAACCTACAAACTTTAAAAAAAAAACACACATCATAACGATTAAAACCTACAATCTTAAACCTACTTAACATAACGTTTTTTACGTTGGCTTTCATCGCCATAACAACTTCAAGCTCCTCCCTGATCATGTTCGATGTGTCCATTATTAGTATCATCATGTCACTATCCATTTGTTTCTGAAGCTCTCTTTCGGAAGCACTTTGCAAAATTTTGTTCATTCTTTCTTTTATACCTTTCATATCGTCCCCGGTTTCTTTCAAGTCATCCGAATCTGATGTTTTGTCTTTGTCTTTGTCTTTGTCTTTGTCTTTGCTTTTTCACTTTGTCCCTTCCCATTGGTTGGGAAGGTGGTGAAACTTGAACGGGTATATCATCGTTGAGGTCGAAACCAACACGAGCATCAGATGTAGTGTGGTCGGATTCAGATGTTCTTGACCGTATTGAACCACTATCGATATGCTCTTCGGATGTTTTCTCACTTGCCATTTTTTGTTATCTTTCACGAGATTCCAAAAGTCAATAAACCTGAAAGTCTTCTTGTTTTCTTTTTGGTACATTTTTAGAGCTTTCTTCGAAATCACTTCATCACTTTCTCCGCTTTTCCATTGACGTTTCATGTTGTTATACAACTCATCAAACAACATGACTTCCTTGTTTGTCTTCCCCCATTTTGAGTAAATTTGGTGTTTTGAATGATACTCAGGAAGTTTCATTCCCTTTTGGAACCTTTTTGTAACCCGCATCCAAAAAAGGTCATGTTTTTTGTCTTTTCCTGTCGTTGCATCTTCTGAAATATTGATCCATGATTGTGCCAAAATGAACACTTCTTCAGGATCCCATCCTTTAGCCACCGTCTTCTCTTTTCTTTTATTTGGTGCTCGAGCGGGTTGAGTTCTCGAACGAATTCGGGTTCGGAATCAGAAATGAGTGTTTGTGATTTGTGGTTGTGTTTATTGAAGAAATTCAGTTTGAGACAAAAACTCAAACGGATTAAAATCCGGATCGGGTTGTGGTTGTCTTTGTGGTTGTGGTTGTGTTGGTCGTTGTGTTTGTGAGAATTGTTGTGGATAATAAGGTAGCATACCGCCATAGTGATAAAATGGGAGTGAATAAATCGATTGATCATACGAAGGTCTTGGGGTTGTAGTGTTTCTAATGAGTGTTTTTTGATTGTTTGGATAGTTGGAAGAAGACATGTTGAGAGTTTTTGAAAAAAAGATGGTGAAAGATAAAGAAATTTGATTGAGGTTTGGTAAAAAAAAAGATAGTTAATATATATAGGTAAAATAAAAAAAATGAAATTTGAAAAATTTTACCGTTCAAACATTCAAAAGAGGAGAACCAATCACAATTTGCGGCCTATTTCTACCAATGTGCGGCTAGATTGCACCCAAAACCACATAGGGGTGGTGTTCCCCTACCACGGTAGCAAGGGTTGCGTCCAAACCGCACCCCACTCCCCAAAGCCTTATTGGACATTAAGAGGATTACCAAACAATGCATAAAAGCCTAAACAAATTAACTAATTGAGACCATGTAGTTTTACCTTGTCGAATGCGATGAACAACTGCAGATTAATTGGGTGGGTCTACGATTTATTCTTTTTTCTATTATAGGAAAAAAGGAATTATTTGAATTCTGAAGTATGGAGAGAAAGACCCGCATATGTTATAAGTATGGATAATATCGTCCAATCTCAGTTGTGTCGGATCTGTCATTTCACATGTAAAGATATGAAGATCTGTCATTTCACATGTCAAATGTTATTCCACTAGTGAATTGTCATGTCACTTTGACTAGGAATTTCATATATTTAATATATTAAGATATTTTTTTCACCAATCTATTGTCATTTTATCAGAGAATTATCATGTCATTTTGACCACGAAATGTATGCTTTGACTATAAAAATGTACACTTTGTTATACAACTAGTAGATTATCATTTCATAGTGAATTATCATGTCATCAGGAATTTTAACAATTTGATGATAAATGTCATACTCTTTTCCTATAATTATGGTATATTTTACTCATTACAAAATTACTTTCTTTCTTCCATGTTGTTGTCGGTTGGAGCTCGGCATGTTTTGCCCAGTGGGTCAAGTGTTCACTCGATTCAGAGTCTTCGTCGAGTTTTTACTAAAAGTGTCTGCCCCTTAGGTCGTGATATCATATTTATTTTTTTCAACTAGTTTGAGTTATCTCAATGTATTTTAAAATGGGTTCATCAAATGGAGTTCAACAACAAAGCTTTGGCAACCTACTAATACTCTTTCATAAGATTGAAAAAATCAAATCCCAATACCATAACCAGAATCAAGAAAATGACATGGACCACTTTAAGTTATGTTTCATGGCCTAAGGATGTGTGGTAAGATATTTTTGTAATGTATACATTATGTATTTGTAGTTATAGTTTAACTAATATTGGTACCATTACTTTTCTAGATTCAAGCATTTCTAAGGCGCATGTTGTTGGATTAAGGTGTCTAAGGTCTTATGAAGCATCCCAAAAATCATGATCAAAAATTTCATTCTTAATTTTATTTTTTACCCCCAAAAAATATATTTTTAATATATATATTTTTTAACTTATATTAAAATGAAGATGGACTCGACGGGTTCAAGGACGAACTCGGCGGGGCGGTTGAAGATAGTCTGATGTGTTGTTGAAGGCGAACTCGTCGAGCTCTTGCTAGACTCGACGAGTAGGGACGGGATTATGGCATTTTGTGGACATGGTGACTTGGCGAGTTGGCGGACCAACTCGGCGAGTCGAGTCAACCAGATGTTGACTTTGACCAAGGTTTTGGCATTGACTTTGACTTGGACTTGAGTGACCCTTGTAAGGGTTATGAGTATGAATTGATAAATTAAAAAAGATGTTGTGTAGGGATCGAGGAGTCGAGAAGAGTTGATTTCCGTACCAAGGACAGTGCAGACACTACACGACATTGAGGTGAGTTACCTTCTAGTAGAAATGGGTCTAAGGCACCAAGGTCGATCCACTAGTAGTTGATTACAGTTGAGATGATTGTCTTTGTGATAATTGTCTGGTTTGCTATTACTTGATATGTTCTATGTGCAAGTATGATATGTTCTATGTGATAGTGGTAGTAGGAGGGGAATAGTCCCCCGATTCGGTCGTTAGGACCGAAGGGTAGGTCGGACACCCCAGATATGTCTGACAGCATGATCATGATATGTTATTATGTGATAGTAGTAGGGGTGAAATAGTCCCCGTGACCGGGTGAGATAGACCGGAGGGTAGGCAGGCACCCCAGAATGGCCTGACATGGGTAGGTCAGCACCCCAGAATGGCTTGACATGGGTAGGTCAGTACCTCAGAATGGCTTGACACGGGTAGGTCGGGCACCCCAGAATTGCCAGGCAGTATGTATGTTGAATGATACGTGGTATGATAGGGGAACTCACTAAGATTTGTGCTTACGGTCTTCAGTTTTGGTTTCAGGTACCTCTTCATCTAAAGGGAAGGAGCCGGCAGGGTAGCAGCGCATCGCACACACATGATTCCGCATTTGAGAACCCTGGGATTGTACTCTGACATTATACTATTTGACATGATGGTTTTGAAACATGTAACTTTGGTTTTTGTGGTTTGATGTGATATCAGTAATGTTTTGCTCAAACAGTTTTACAAGTATTATAATTGAAAACAAAAATTTTCGGTCTCGATTTTTGGGATGTTACAAGTTGGTATCAGAGCCTTGGTTTGAGGGATTCGGGCACACCTTCGGGAGTGTCTGGACTCAAATCGAGGGCTTGAAAGGATTTTTACAAGAAAAATGGTTTTCTAAAATTTAAATATGAGGAGTTTTGAGAAAGAACAAGGTGTGTGATGCGTGCGACCGACCGAGCTCAAGTAAGTTTTCCCCAAGATACCCATACATGATATGTTATGTTATATGATATGATTATGAGAGCTGCATGCTAGACTAGGGCTAAGGATCTAGGAAGGATGCCTTATATGACTGTTGCGTGAACTTATTGAGCTGTATGCTAGGGCTGTTTAGTCATTAGTATGATAGCCTGATTAGGTTATGTTTGATTTGGTTACTTGATGCACGAATGTTGTTTGCTTTGTGCTTATAGGGGTTCTAGCTAGTTTTAACTAACTAGTAAGTGAATATGTAATAGTATTGGCAAGCTAGTTAGGGAAGGATGGTAGGGACTCCTTGTGCATCTGATGGCAGAGAGTAGGTCGGAGAGTGCCCTGGGTCAAGCCTAGGATGAGATTAGTTAAGAAGGCAGTATTGGTAGAAGGGACTTGGTGAAGTTGAAACAATCCTTGATGAAAGTACAGATTGATGTGGAAGGTAGTATGGGCCCGTACTACTGAAAGCAGAGGATCCGTACTCGAGTCAAGGAGGGTTGAGGCAGAATCAGGGAACTTGGAAAGTGTGGGACCTCTCGAGAGTATGTATGACCCTGACGTTTATATGTTTTATTTCAGAATGGTGGTTACGCGTCACGGGGTGGGAGGTTCAGGGTCTGGATCAGGTTCAGGATCAGGCTCAGGTGCGTGATCCGAGCAGGTTGATGATGGGCTACGCGAGTTCATCGCGTCTGAGATCACGAGAGGTATCCTTGAGGCGACCCCGGTCATTTTCGGGTCTATCAAGGAAGGGATCATTGAGCTGATGGAGGATCGCCTCCGGACATTCAGGAGTGACTCGGCGTCCAGCCATTCCGGGACGCGCACACTGTCCTTCAAGGACTTCAGGGGGAATGGTGCGCCAGACTTTCACGGGGTGAAGGACCCCATTGCTGCCAGGAAATGGATCGCAAACATCGAGTATGCGCAGTTGATGAGCTTCTGCCCGGAGGGGTCAAAGGTCCGCTTTGCTGCGGGTTGTTTGAGAGACAGAGCTAGGGATTGGTGGGAGTCAGTTGGTGACTCACTGGGAGCCCCAGCCATCGAGGCGATGACTTGGTCGAACTTTGTGACCAAGTTCAGGGTTGAGTTTGTGTCAGCTGTGGAGCTTCAGCAGCTGGCCAGGGAGTTTCTTGATATGAGACATACTACGGAGACGGTGGAGGAGATCACCGCCAAGTTCCGAGAGAGGGCTTTGTTGGTACCACAGTATGCGGGGAATGAGGAGATGTGGAAGACCCGCTATCATGACTTGTTGAGGGCTGACATTCGAGAGCATGTCGGCTACTCAACATGCCCGACCCTGTAGTCCATGATTGCC